TGACTTGGCGGATTTACCAGCAAACATTCGGGAGAGGATTTGTGATGACCCCAGAAGATGGAAGATGATCCTCCGGGAGGATACATTGGAACAATGGAATCGGCGATGGGTGACAACCCCAAACGGGTCCACACTAAGAAAATTCTTTCCCACCATTAAATCGTGCTTAGAAAAGAAATGGGTCCTCCTGGACTACTGGGTCTCACAGATCCTCACGGGGCATGGGGGTTTCAGAGCGAAACTTTTTAAACACGGTAAAAATATCGACCCCTTATGCCCCACTTGTGGAGTACCTGAAACCGCTGAGCACATCCTTGTAGCCTGCACCAGCTATGAGGCACTGAGGGCTAAATTAATGAGGGATACAGGGCTTTTCGTTCTTACAGAAAGACAATTACCCCAACTAATGTCTGAACAAAACTACCCTCACTTTAAAAGTTTTGTATGCGGCTGGAAAAAAACTGTGGGCCCAACCCACTTCTCTCTGGGAAGGCGTGAAGAAGCAGTACCTGGAAGGCCGCTGATTGGGACAGGAGAAGCAGATGGAGTACGATAAACTAAATGACAAAATTATCAAGCAGGCTGTGTGTACAGCAATTTAAAAATGTAAAAAGATAAACTTGCAACAGTGATTTGTTTATACAATGTGTATCAAGTCACTGCTGCAAACTCCCGTATTGTCTTAAAGGCAGGGTAGGGAGGAAAATAAAATAAAATAAAATAAAATAAATAAATAATATTGACCTAAAAAAAGTTTTGTTTTAATCATTAATGATTTAGTAAGTATAAACAACAATTTCAATGGCTTCAAATTATTTAAAACTTTGAAAGGATGCCGCTGGACATTCCTTTTCCTCACGCCGATCAAGCCACTATTACTATTTTACTGACAGCACACTCGCTAATTGTCACTACTTATTATAGATGTGGATAAAAAAAAATAAAGATAAAAAATACTTAAAAAAAAAAAAAAGGATCTCGCCTTTACAGTAGAATGCGTGAAAAATATTTAGAACTTATATTGGTACCAAATTGTCTGATTTCAACGTGGTTGTTTTATTTGTTTGTTTTTTATGGAAATTTTTAATAGATACTTTTAAATGAACATTGAAAGACCATTAAAAAATTTACTTTTTGAATAATTCAAAAATCTAATCTAAACACCCCTCGTACCTTTTTTCCAGCTTATTTTTGGTGTAGATTGTTAAACAGATAAATTAAAAGGCTTCGAAAAAGGATACTTCATCCAAGTTCTATCGAAATCAGTATATTTGTTTTGGCACTACAGCTTCTACGGTACAAGTTTTCGGCCGCCATCTTGGTAGGAAAGTAGTTTTTGATGATGTAGGTTATGTACATAAATTTCAGAATATTTTGGCCAAGTTTCGTTAAAATCTATACATTCGTTTCGGAGCTAAAGTCTATAGCGACACAATTTTGAAAAGGATCGTTTCAAGGAACCCTTTGACATAGATACCGATTTTTAAAAAAAATTGACCGGTATTCGCGGAGGAAAGCTGCGGGCGGCGGACATGCGGATTTTGTTTAATTCGATTTTCAGGTACTTTTCATTTCCTAAAACGTAAAACCTCCAATAGATAATATTGATATCGATAATGAAGGTAATATGTTTGAACTCGTAGAGTAGCTTAGGTATCTAGGGACTACGATAACCAGAAAAAAACGAAATTTAAGACGAAATTAAGGTTAGGCTGATTGCGAGAAATGCTTGTTATTTTTCTTTGAGAAAATACTTAGCTCGCACCTCTTGTCCCGGAACTAAAAAACTAGAATCTATAAAACCATTTTCTTAACTATGGATACGAAACGTGGCCGCTTACATTAAGAGATGAACAACGTCTTTAGGTTTTTGAAAATAAAGTATTGCGTAAAATATTCGGAAGAAAGAAGGATGAGTTACCGGAGAGTTCAGACAGCTGCACAACGCCGAATTGCGTGAACTGCATTCGGTTAATATAATTGAGATGATTACAAAATGGCGAATCAAACGGGCATGTAAAATTGTTGGGCTTGGTAACGAAAGGATTCTTAAAAGATTAATATATGCTGTAATCCGAGGGGTAAACCGAAGCGAAGGTAGGAAGATTGCCTTAAAGCCGATCTGAAGAGACTGGGTTTGGACAGCGAACGAAGGAGAGAGGTGTGTAATAAGCAATTGGTGGTGTCGGCATCAAACCTTCGGGTTCGCTAAGCCTTTTATTATTGTTATTATTATAACCAAACCTAAAAATCGCTCTTAGTAAAAATCATCAAATGATTTTTAAAAAGGCCACATACAAATTTTGATCAGATTTAATTATCGATTTCAAACCCTGCTATTCAACCCTGTTATGATGTAATAATATAATATTAGGTATTGGCGTAGGGCCCATCGCCTGGTCATAGGATTGCAAACAACCACTGGCCCTCCAGGTTGGGGGAACAGTACACTTACACTCACACATCTACACTAACTACAGCACACTACCCTCACCCCCACACTATATACTAAGGACATATCCTCGGAAGTACTTTTTTCGCACACAAAGATATTTATAAATGCACCTGGACAACGCCAGATAAGGAACACGTTAATCAAATAGATCATATCCTTGTCGATAAAAGGCACAAGTCCAGCCTCCAAAACGTGAGAACATTTGGAACCGCCAATGTGGATTCCGACCACTTTTTGTGCATTGCCCACATTACTCCTAGGATCTCCTTCAAAAGATTTGGAGGCCCAGCTATAAAACCTAAGCACTACAATATTGGAAAGCTACGGGAGCCTGATGCCAAACAGCTGTAGACTGAGCAACTAGATGAGAACCTCCGTGCTCAGGTTGTAAATACAGAAAACGTAGAATCCCTCTGGTCCAGCTGTGTGACCGCAATGCAGGAAACTGCTAGTAGTGTACTGGGACAGAGAGAAAAGGACACTATGGTTTGACGGAGAACGTGAGGCAGCCACTAATACAAATAATGTAGCATACAAAAATATGTTAAGAAAAAGGACTCGGAGAACAGTCGAGGAATATCGAAAGAGGAGGAGAGAGGAAAAACGACTTCATCATCAAAGAAAGAAAAGACAGAGAGAGAAGGATGAATAGGAGAGGACCGAAAGGTACTGGAAGGAGAAAAAATCAAGGGACCTTTTCAAGATCATCAATAGGAAGAGAAGACCTGAAAGAAAAGTACCTGAAACTTGTAGAGACAAGAATGGGAATATAGAGGCCTGCACAGATGAGGTCCTATTGCAATGGAAAAGCCATTTTGATAAGCTTCTCAATTCAGCCATCTGTGGATCAGATACAAGAGAGGGCTTGTTCCTGGATGTCAGGAACCAGGCATCAGACCTTGAACCACCTGATGATGAAGAAATGATGGATGCCGTTAATCGGTTAAAGAATAATAAGGGACCTGGAGCTGATGACCTGCCTGCTGAACTCTTCAAGAACGGAGGTGAAGAACTGATTTAGAGGTTCCAGAATCTAGTCTTGACCATTTGGGAGGAAATGGTTTTGCCGGAAGACTGGAAAAAGTCGGTTATATGCCCTATCTTTAAAAAAAGTGACAAACTCCAGTGTAAAAATTACAGGGGTATCTCTCTTCTGGATATAAGATTTTATCTGCCATCCTGTTCCAGCGTCTTCCACCCTTTGCAGAGCAGAGGTTTGGTCCCTACCAATGCAGATTTAGACAGGGAAGATCTACGACAGACCAAATATTCTGCCCCAGAACAATCCTAGAGAAAGGAAACGAACATCAGATTAAAACCCACCATCTTTTCATTGACTTTAAGGCAGCTTACGATAGCATTAACCGGGAAGAACTGTACAAGGCACTAGAAGGTTTCAATATCCCAGATAAGATAATACGACTGGTGAAGCTGACCACGAGGGATGTAAAGTACACTCTGCAGGTTGGTGGTCTAAGGTCAGAAGAGTTCCCCTCAACAAAAGGACTTCGTCAAGGTGATGCGTTAGCATGCCTTCTGTTTAACTTGGCACTTGGGAAGGCAGTCAGTGATCCTGGTATGCAAACTAATGGGACGATTTACAACTGGATGGTTCAACTATTGGCTTATGCGGATGATGTGGACATCGTGGGGTGGTCGTTGCAATCTGTCAGAGAGGGATTTTTGTTGGAGGCCGCCAGGCACTAGGGTTAGAAGTGAATGAAGGCAAAACTAAATATATGACCACAGGAGAAGTTCCCCGACCAGGCGAGACCATAATTATTGGACCCCTTTAACTTTGAGAAAGCAGTTTAAGTATTTGGGGTCACTGGTAACACAAGATAATGCACCCGAGGTCAAGGTCAAGAAAAGAAAATTTATGGCTAACCAATGTTACTTCGCCCTTCGCAAGGAATTCACCTCTCGCATTCTATCCCGGCATAACAAGCTACAACTTTATAAAACAATAATCCGTCCAGTCCTGCTCTATGCTTCAGAAACATGGACGACGACTAAAAAAATTGAGCAGGACCTCATAATCTTTGAGAGGAAAATTCTTCGAAGAATATTTGGAGGAGTGCAGACTGATGGAAATTGGAGAAGACGGACAAATGCCGAGATTTGCTCAACTTTTAATGATCATAATGTCGTTTTGAGGATGAAGCTTGGAAGATTGCGATGGGCTGGTCATGTGGCAAGGATGGAGAATGAAGCAATCCCTAGGATGATCCTGACAGAACCTCTCTACGGCACAAGAAGAAGAGGGAGACCAAAACTAAGACGGTCAAACTGTGTGGCAAGAGATTCAAGGGATGTCCTGGGAGTCAGGAGCTGGATGATTTCCGCACAGAACAGAGATGACTGGAGGAAGCTGGTGGAGGAGGCCAAGACTCGTCACCAAGTTTTAGCGCCGTGATAATAATAATAATAATGTATTAATATTAGTAGATATATATATATATATATATATATATATATATATATATATATATATATATATATATATATAAAATCAGATCTCGTTTTCATATGTAGGTATACTCACCGCATTGCTGTTATTAATTATAAAGACATCGCGTTCCCTCTGCCTGGCGAATGTGATGTGCCTTCTAAATCCATGTGACCAGGACCCAAGTCGGAGTCCGGGTCTATTCAATTCCAGGGATATCCATTCTGCCGCGTCGTCGCCGCAGTCTCGAGTTTCAATGATTTCGGGTCTCGTTGTAGGGAAATCCATACTGATAAGGCGGAGAGGTTGGTGATCAAGAAGCGGACCAAAGAATAATGAAAAAAAATGTTATAATTTATAATCAAACAAATACTAGTATAAATGCACCATCGCAGACATGCTTAAAGGAAATTTGTTTGAACCTTTACTTGTAAGAACTTAAATATTGATGTTATTATATTTTCCATGGATTCATCTTATAGTGCTGTTTCTCACCTTAACAAGACATGTTCAAAAAATTGAAAATTAAGAGAATTGTTTTAATGCACCGACAGCTGACAGAGTTACGAACTAGGTAGGTAATTAGAAAAAAAAAATCATAGCTCTTTACTTTGTTCCAAATAAAATCATCCATAATAGCCTTAACGTTTCAGATCTGGCTAAATCCAGATACCTATCCTTCCATAATAAACTTCAGAACCGTCCCAATCCTCTCGTTTCTAATCTTGCTTCATCCTCGATCCCTGATAACAGTCCTAGACCTCTGAAAAGAAGATGGCCTCGAGATCTGCTAATTTAGAAAGTTTATTATAGTGCTACCAATGGGCAGATTCTCTACAAGCCTTGTCATGTCATGAATTTCTCTTTATCGCATTTGCTGAATGTATATTAATTTGTTCAGTTGTAAATTTCATAAATAATAATAATAATAATAATAAATATTATAAAACTAACTTCTTGCGTTGCCCAACTTAAATTTATCAATAAATTGTGGTCACTGTCTAGAACCTGTTTTCGGAAATAGGAAAACCTATTTTCGCTTTATATTCAATCCAAATCACTTGCAATTTTTGAATAGTACCATTTTTAAGACCCGTTATATTAAGTATTATCTTTGATTTTAGGAAAATATAGGCCTGTTGCTATCGGCGAAAGGCTCTATTATAAGGTTGTAGTTGCTGACTCCCATTAAACATCCAATTCCTTCATCAAGATAAGTTAAAACAGATGAAATATAATTTAAAAACAATCAAACAAAAATTGTAATGAGTTAATGTATCGATATAATCGAAATAGTGGCAGTCAGTCAAACAAATACAAAAGTAAAAATAAATAACACTGACTGAATGTCTCAATCAACTTCTCTACAATATATCTACGAGTCAATTATTTATAATATCAAATAAATTACCAGTTTTCATCGGGCACAACGGCTTGTTGGCAAAACTATGTACTTAAATATATAAATACTACAAATTATATATACAATATCTATTTCATAAAACTTTTCTAAGATTTCTTTTTAATAGAAAGAAACACCGTGTAAACTGTTAATAATTTGTTTCTCCTTTACTTCCTGCCTGGGCAATTCTGGCATACGGGAAGAGAAGTTATTCGTGAGGTACAACTGAACTTATTTCAACCAGAGTAGTAACGTCGAAATTCATTTGTGGATACACCACAATATAAATTTCAACCCCTGCAGAAAAAAAAATATAATAAATACTACCGTATATATGTAATCTTCATCGAACGGATGGTATTCATCTTTATCTTGAAGGGATCCCTTCCGGAAGAAGATACAAACTGGGCGATTCCCTGGGTGCCAAAAATCTCCATTTTGATATTCAGCAAGTTCGGGCAAGTTCTTGCGGTAAGCACTCTTCTTTCCTCGTCGAATACTACAAACATTCTGAAACGTGTGAACATTAGTTAGTTATCGCTAAGTATACATATTAACTTATAAATATTTAAAATAACACACAGAAAATATTTCTTCATTATTTTTATCATAATTCAAATTAATTACCTTAGGATACTACCTCCAAATTATAGCAAGTGCGTTTCTGTATATAGAGGATGTCTGAGTCCTTAATGTAGAAACTAGGTGATTCTAGCCACAATTTCCAACAAAAAAAATCATTTGGTGTATGGACAATATCGAACGAAAAAGGAGTCAAGGCCAATTTTGTCTTTTCTTAATGTAGAAAAGCTCTTTCATAGCCAAGCCTTTCGCCACACTCGTGGAAGGAAAGGCAGGACTCTAGGATATCAGAGCGCCTCTCACTCAGCTGCATTACTGGTAGTATAAATTATAGGAACTAAATCACCTTACACTCTTATTTTTTCTCTAGTAAAATTTACCTAAATGGAGTTACAAGGTTTTTATCATGTAATATACAGGTTGTCTCTTGCACAGGTGATTCTAGAAACAATTTCCAACAAAATATTTCATTTAATGTACTGGTATTCAATCCTTTCAATCTAAAGTCCTTCGAACAATAGTTGATGCTCCGTTCTATGTAAATAACAAAATCCTACACCATGACCTTAATATCCCATTTGTCCTAGACCTTATTCCAGAAAAATTCTCCATATTTCACCAAAACCTTACCTATCATCCAAATCCCCTTGCACAATCTCTATCCAGCACCACCCATCCTTACAATCCTCCTCGAAGGTTGAAGCGGCAGTGGCCCAGAGACCTTTTGTAAATAAGCATCTATTGGAGTTTTGGCAATGGCCAGATCCTCCACTCAAGCCCGATTGTGTATGATTAGGTTAGTTATTTTGTTTATATACATTTATTTTATTTTATTGTATTTATGTTTATTTTATTTTATTGTATTTATTATTATTAAGTTTCTGTATTATTTATTTTTTTTTTATTCTAAATAGAGTGTGAGTGTGCTTTCTCTGATCACTATTATAAATGTCCTTGATGTGACAGAATGTAATATTTCTAAATAAACAAATATATCAAAAATGTACTGGTAAATTTCGAACGGAAAAAGAGTTAAGTTTAATTTTGTCTTTTCTCAAGGTTGTGGCGTTTTCTCTTTCATAGGAAGCGATGGCACAAAAATTGTTTGATTCAGGTAATTAAAAATTTCTCCATGGTAAACTAGAGAAAATTTCCCAAATACAAGTATAGTTTGTCCATGCCAAAACCATTTAAAGGGGATTTTCAAGCCAAACTTATGTTTTTCATTAAATCATGGATTATTTGATTTATGTTTTATGTTTTTTCAATATCCTACAGATACCCCATTTTTATAAAACTACCTGATTTAATAAACTTTAATTACATAACAATTTATTTGAGGCTTGTTTCAGAATAGATTTGAGATTTACTTGTATCTATGTACTTGTATCTATGTACCTTATTGAAAGACACTTCAAAGTCAATCATGACAACGCTCATTCATCTCTTTTTACTCATTCTGCCGATGTTCCTCAAGGTAGTATCCTAGGTCCTATCCTTTACACAGTTTATACAGCTGACATCCCAACCCATCCAACACTGTCATCACCACCTATGCCGATGACACGTGTATGCTATCAGTTAATAATGATCTATTGCATCCCAAACTCTTCAATCACACATCAAAAGTCTTGAAAAATGGTGTCAAAACTGGAGGATTAAAATAAATTCCAATAAATCTCATCAAATTACCTTCACTATTCGCCGTAAACCTATGACTTCCTGTTCTACAGTATCCTTCAACAATAGCCCTCTTATCCCTGTCGAACAAATCCGATACTTAGGACTCCACCTTGACAAACGACTCACTTGGAACCCCCATACCAGACTGAAACGACTAGAAACAGCCCGACGTTTTCGACTACTGCAGCACTTACTAGACAAACGATCTAATCTTTCAATCAATTACAAACGACTCATATACATGACAATAATAACACCTATTTGGACTTACGGAATTGAGCTTTGGGGCTCCACTAAACCATCAAATTCCTCTTGTATCCAATCCTTACAATCCAAAATCCTCAACGCTCCTTACTTTGTCACAAATAAAATCATCCATAAAGACCTTAATGTTCCATATGTTTCCGATTTGGCCCAATCCAGATACCTATCCTTCCATAACAAACTGCAGAACCATCCGAATCCTCTCCTTTTAAACCTTGCTTCCTCCTCGATCCCTGATAACCCTCCGAGGCGTCTGAAAAGAAGATGGCCTCGGGACCTTCTAAGAAAGAATTTTAATTTGAGTTCTACCAATGGGTAGTTTCTCAACATGTTGTACATGTTATGTTACGAATGTCACATTTACTTATTGTATTTTCCATGTAATACAGTTTAAATTTCAATAAAATAAAAAAAATAAAAAAACTTGTATATATGTAAAAAAGTATGTGATTTGATATTCTTTTACTCCAGACTATCTGTATTTTCAACAAAAATAACAACTGAAAAATTATAGCAAAGTTTTAATTTCTTATTTTTCTTGTGACTTGACATTTATTTTAGTAAATTAATAATGAATATACTTTTAAGTCATTAAAAAATACTGTTTTTTTAAAAATTTATTATCTAAGGTGACAATAAACTATTGTTTATAACATAGATAGCTATTGCGGAAATTAATACTTGTGGTATTAAGTTACTAACTAAATGTTTTTAATCCTAATATTTACGTTCACTTGAAAAAAAATCTAGTGTTTAATTTTTTACTTTTAGATATTTTAATTTACAATCATGAGGTTTTAATTAAGATTGGTATTGATGCGTTTTATGTGGCATAAGGATTTTTATTTCCTGAATTATGGCTATTTCTGAAATAAAATATTTCATTTCTCGTAAATTTCACTTTTTCAGAAGAATATTTTCCTATGGAAATAGAGTTTCTTTTCTTGAATTTAATACATTTTTTTAATGAATAAAAAATATATTTTCATAATTAATTTATTAAAATAGATGTCAGGTCACAAAAAAAAAAAAAGGATTTAAAACTTTTTAATAATTTCTCGGTACTTATTTTAGCTGAAAATACAGATACTGTGGAGTGAAAGAATTTTAAATCACAAAAAATTTTTTTTTTTTATCACTAGGAAGGTGATGTTACTTTAGATGTATAATTGTTTGGAAATAATAAACCATTATGAAATAATTTGCAGCGTTTTTTTTCGTATGGGTGTATTAGAATATATGCTAGCAAAGAATTTGAATATATTACATTTTTTATTTGAAGGTTTGAGACAGGGAAATGATGAAATGTGATAAAATATTAAAGTAAAAATGGAAGGATGGGGATGAATAAATAATAAAATCCTAGGATATATTGCTATGAATATAAAATAAATTTCAGTGAGATGAACAAAGGCTGTGGGAAACTAGTTACGTACCTACTTCTACATCTTGGTTTAGCCGTCTAATCGGTTTTTCCTATTTCCTTTATTGATTTTAGATTACATATTTTATAATTTATATGGATCAATCGAGCCTTTCAGGTGACAGAATGACTAACTCCAGTTTCGACATTTTTAGAGATATTACTAGTCATGTTAGCGATATTAGTTGGAAAAATTATAATATCTGTACAGAAAGTGAGTAAATTGATTCCAGAGTAGATGATTGCATTGTTGAAATATAGAACTACCAATAAAGGTGTAAAATTGCCCTCTAGAAATATCACTAAAAATAATAATAAAAATGTTTAAAGTGGAGTTAGTCATCCTGTCCATCCCTCCGCCGATGGTCTCAGGTGGTAACATTTCATAGGGATAGTCGATAGTTTTTCACTATCGATAGTTCGATAGTATCGACAGAAACTATCGATAGTTCGATAGTATCGACAGAAACTATCGATAGTTCGATAGTATCGACAGAAACTATCGATAGTTCGATAATATCGACAAAAAACTATCTATATTTCAGTAGCTTCCCGACACAAACTTATTGTTTAGTTATTTGCTTTAAAATACTGCATAAACTTTATAATAAATAACACTTAATACTGGATATATCCTTAAAGATTAGTGTTAAGGCACTAATAAAAATTATTAAAACAATAAATAAAAGAATTATTGACGGGAAAATTCATTTATATAGAAAAATATATTCATTTCCCTGATTGTAGAATTCAAACAAGAAACACAGATAGTATTTCGTTAATTATTTAGTAAAAAAAAAAGGGGAGGGGAGAGAAAAGCTTAGGTCTTTTAATTTACAAGATTCCAATTTTCTAAATTTATTTTGATAATAGCACTTAGTTTAAATTATAATGAAACTATAATGGCATCCTAGTAGATTCTATATATATTTTTTTTTTAATGAAAAAAGATAATATAAATTTAACTTTTTATTTTCCATTGGTACAACTGGAGTTGTAATAATATTTATAAGAAAGTAATTCTTCTTGTTCAATTTTGTTTCAGTTTTCAATATTGATAACAATAGCTTTAAATACGTCTTTTATCCATTTACTTTCTAAATCCATTATACGATAATAATTTTACATAAACAAACATTTAACTTTTACATTATTATATTATCACTATATCTCGTACATCAATGAATGGGTAGATATATGAATGCGTGTTATTAAAATTATTTCTTTAAGTGTATACAATTTTTAAATAATTTGTGTCAAAGGGAAAAGGATACGAACTATCTAGAGGAATATCGATAGGGCTATCGGCAGTTTTAAACTATCGATATATCTATAGTACTATCGAATATCTCTCATCCTTTCATAAAAATCAAATTACTGAGCACTTTGATGAAATTCCTTCTCTCTGAAAGGAAAATAATGTACCGCTTAGGGTAAAGAGTAAATCACGATTCAAAAATCCTCATTCATTAATACAAACAAAATTTTAATTTCAGGTAAAAATCGAGCTTAAGTCATTTAAAATTATTTATAAGTAATACAAAATGGACTCAATTGATTTTCATTTTAATTTATGTGTGTTATTATCACAATAAATTAATGTTATGATTAAGCAAGTTAAAAATAAATTTAAATTAGCAATTAAAATTTATTTTTATTCACAACTTCTATGTAAATAATGTCTTTTTTTAATGTTCTGTTATTGTTTAGTGCATAGCTATACCCATTGCCAATGAAAATATAAATTTCAATATTTTAAATGAACATGCTCTAATTACTGCCACATATAATTGTCCATGCGAAATCACTGGACGTCACAATAACACACACATTTTTCCAAAACTTTCATTCTACGATTTGATTATGGTCATAGCAAATGCAGCCATTAATAGGAACGTTGTTCTTTAAAAGTCGAATGTAAGTATAGTGTCAGAAAATGTTAAATTAATTCTTGGAATTAAAATTCTTTAATTTAAAGTAGCCCCCGTTAATACTTCAGTCTCATTCATATAAATGATTCATTCATTAACTAATGGTTGTGCAGTATTTAAGTGAACAATGAGTATAACTATAGAATATATTTTTAAATTTAATTTATGAGGTATCATTCCACTAACATTACATGATATCATCTCTTCAAATAATAGACCCAATTACTTCATTAAATGGAAAGTTTTCAATTTATCAAAAAACAAAATAAAGGAGATCGAATTAAAAAGTATTAAAGCAAAAGAAAAAGTATTAAATGTTTAAAATGATATATCTCTGCCACTAGCGGATCCAGGATTTAATTTTGGGGGGGGGCTTCAGCCCGAAAGTTTTTTTTAAATAAAAATAACGATAATTACTTAGGAAAAACAGAAAGAAACTAACTACCTATATGAAATGGTGTTTAAGTGATTCCTTAAGTCCTTTTAAATGTAAATACACGAACAATAATACTTTAAAAGGTATTTTAAAACCTTTTTTTTCCATAAAACATGGTTATATTTTACCATTTTGGGAGGGGGCTTCAGCCCGAAAGCCCTCCCCCCCCCCGTAGATCCGCCCGTGATCTCTGCAAAAAATAGTCCGATTTCGATGATTTTTTTTTTCATTTTGTAGAGAATTCAGGAAGCTTTCAAATAAATTCATGTGTACTTTTTGAGTTATTCGCAAATAGAATACTGTATTCATCATAAAAATGTAAGCAGCTTGTTTTCGGAAAAGTATGTTATATACATAAATTATAAAGGTTTCAAGGGGAAGACTTTAGCCAAGTTTCATTGAAATCATTGAAGCCGTATTAGCGCTACAGTCTAAAGCGAATCACGTTTTTCGGCCGCCATTTCGAAACGAAAGGTCCGATGATAATGAAACGTAAAAAAAAAATTCTATATATTATTGGGACGTTGTGTCAAAATTTAAAAGAAATCGGTGAAGAACTTTCGGAGAGTTTTAAACAAACTATCATTTATATTTTTTTTTACATACTATTTAATATTTTTATTTATTGATAACACTAAAGCTCCTCAATATCTCTTAAACCAAAAAAAAAAAAAAAAAAAAAAAGGAAGGAAATCGGTTGAATAATAGAGGATTAAAAGGGGCTGTACCGATTTGTGTTTGCCTAATTTATATAATGATTAGCGAATGATTTGTGTCATTTATATTTACTGTCAATATTTAAACTGTTTCCAATAAATCAACCATTTATTCATATAAATATAAAATAATAATAATATAATGACCTGTCTGTTACATTCCGGTATCTGAGACCGAAGAACGTGCACTCGGCGCTACCGATTGCTATGGGGGGCCCCGACTTGAGGGGGAAGATATTGAGGACCTCCAATTTGCCAACGCGTATCCACCGCTCCTTAATGCACCAATGGTAAAGGCCGTACATGAAGGCAGCCACAGCGAGCAGAATACCTCCTACGATGAGCCATCTCGGTCGATCCCCTCCTAAGTACATCTCTTCTTTCTTGTGTCTTTGTTAGAGACTGAATAGCGGTCAGCAATGTCTTTGTTGTCGATGTTGAGAGAGAATTAAGAATAAGGACTAATCCAATACTTCATGTTTATTGTTTATCTATCTATCTATGTAAGAGTATATACAGTGGCCCATAGTAAAATTGATATAATCCATAGAAAAAAGACTTTAATACTCACAGTTGTTTTTTTTTTTAGTTTTTTATTGAATATTAAAACATTCTGCCACATTGAAGGGCATTAATATTAAGGCTACATGATTCATTCACACAATATGTACATACAATTAATATCAATAATAAAGAAAAAGAAATATAAAAAAAATAAAATAAGTAAATTGGTAATGATCACAGTAAATAAAAAAACAAAACAGAAACTATCCAACAGGTTTATTTATAATATTAATTTAAATATGTACAAACTTAATAAAATTAAAATATACAACTGTCCTTATTTAAAAAAAAAAAAATGGATAATTTTACCTCACTGAATGATATACCTCACTTCTTGTTGTGTATAAAGAGAGAGAAGTGAGAGACAGGGAAATTAAATGTTAAAAAAACAAAGAAAAAAAAATCTGGTGCGCGCAACACACAACTTTCACTTACCGCTCTACTTTGAATGGAAATTATTTTCTGGCAAGGCTGGTCTATTACAAAATTGTTTGAAGTGCATTTTAAACGGAGCTAAAGCTTACAGATAACAAGTCATTAAGACCATTATAATATCAAAATGTCTATTTAATATATCGGCGGCAGGCAATAAAAATCTATTCACTCTATCTGCTTTTATAAACCACAGAATGACTAACTCCAATTTCAATATTTTTGAGTGACGTCATTTTAGTGATATTTTTAGTTGAAAAAGTTATCTATGCAGACAATGAGTAAGTTGATTCCAGAGGTGGTGATTGCAATGTTGAAATATAGAATTGAGAATAAAAGTATAAATTTAGGTACTACTTTCTTATGAAAGATGTTCTTAGGTAAGACATTTTATTAAATATCTGTAGAAAAAAGGTTTTTTTAGTCTCAACAATTAAAAAAATATATTTTAAATTTATCCAAATTTTCACCTCTTCAGGGGAAAAAAAACTAGAGACCATATCTATTCTCCTAATTGTCTGATTTTAACGATTTTTTTTTTGTTTTTTTTTAGGAAATTCCATAAACTTTTAAAAAACTACATACAATATCGACAAAAAATTGTATACTTTTTGAGTTATTTGGAATTTAATTTTACCATCCCTCGTAACTTTTTTTCCAGCTTCTTTTCGTTGAAGTATGTTATACAGATAAATTTAAAGGGTATGGAGAAAATGACTTTAGCGAAGTTTCATTGAAATCGGTACATTCGTTTAGGCGCTACAGTCTATAGCAACCCAGGTTTTTCTGCATTTTTTTTTTCTCCTTTATTAACTTATCAAATTCTTTCAAAAGTTATATGTAGCATTTTTTCGTAACTCTGAATAATGCGAAATGATTAACTTTTTAAAATAAACCATATTAAAGGTAATTTAGAGGAAGAGATATATGAACAATGGGCATTTAAGCCCTGTAAAGTGACATCAACGGGGATAAAACCTAAATGATATTAATGACCACTTAATTATACAATGATACACCGAGTTTGATCAAAATCGTTACAGCCATTTTTGAGAAAATTGTAAAAATGTGTTTCAGCGTTCATATAAAGTGGTACTTCCGGTTAGACGATTTTAACGAAAAAGTTACTGTCACATCCGGCTCATATACAAACCTTAAATACTTAATATCAGTTTCGTACTACTTTTCTTTTATGAGCAAGCCTGTTAACACATACACACAGACACACACACAAACAGACCATTTTGTGACACTTGGTTATTTGGACTCAGGGGACCTCAAAACATGTATTTCTGTTGAAAACTGAGATTCGAAAATTTTCACGATCGCAATACTTACCCTTACTATATATTACATATCTACAGAAGTGAAAGTAAAAATCTGGTGTGTCCACTCACACGACTTTCCTACCTATTTCAGAAAACACTAACTGGAAGTTAGATATTAACTCTGATTATACTAAATTCCCAAATTCAAAATTGTCAGCTTAACAAACTACCTTCCAATGGGCTTAAGAAGATATACATTTACAATTCGTCTCTTTGGTGGAGTGAAAGTATAGGTGTATTTCTGTAGTAGTCAAATATATATTTTAAATAAAATGATCTTAACGCTGCAAATTATTTCACAATGGTTTATTATTTCCAAATAACTATACATCTAAAGTAACATTACTTTTCTAGTTACAAAGAAAAGATTCCAATTATTGGACTAAACTTTTTTTTTAATCATTAGTAATATGCTAAAAAAAAAAAAATAGCATTACTTCAGTAACACATTCAAAATTTAAAAACGAAACAAAGAATATAACATTAGGAGTAGAACATATAAAAAAAAAAACTGGAGACCATATCTTTGCTCCTGATTATCCGTTTTTTTAGGATATTTAGTAAACTTTTAAAAAAAATATATACAATATAAAATTTGAAAAAAATCGGTCCAGTAGTTTCGAAGAAAATGCGAGGACGGCGGACGGACAAAAAAATTGTTATTCGTTTTTCGAATTCTACGCAACCTCAAACGTAAAACCTCAAATTTTGAGAGGAGGTGAAGTTTTTGAATTTGTTATCGATCACAATGGTTGATTATTGAAAATAATAAACCAAAAATATTAAAAAATCGCGATATATCTACTAATAGTGCTTTGATTTCGATGAAATTTCCATTATTTTGTAGTAAATTTAAATACCTTTGAAACATCTTATCACAATATCGACAAAAAAGTGTATACTTTTTGAGTTATCGGAATTAAATTTTACCATCCCTCGTAACTTTTTTTCAACTTCTTTTCGTTGAAGTATGTTATATAGATAAATTTAAATGGCGTCAAGAAAATGACTTTGGCGATGTTTCATTGAAATCGGTACATTCGTTTAGGAGTTACAGTCTATAGCAACGTATGTTTTTCGGTCGCCATCTTGAAAGGAAAAGGCGAATAGAAATGTCGATGAAGGAGGATCATCCTCGGGCGATCTTTGATTTTAAATCCAAATTTGAAAAAAATCGATCCTGTTGTTTCGGAGAAAACGCGGGGACAGCGAACGGCGGACGGCGTACGGACAAAACAATTTTTATTCTTTTTTCGAATTCTACGTATCCTAAAACGTAATACCGCAAATTTTGAGAGGGGGTTAAGTTTTTGAATTTTTTTTCTCGATTAAATGATGCATTATTGAAAATAATAAAATTAAAATAAATAAATAGTTACAGTAAAAAACTAAAACCATAATCTCTTCAACAGGTGTATTTCTAATATTAATTTAAAAATGTACAAACTTAATAAAATTAAAATATTGAACTCAACTCCCGCGGTAGCATCCTATCACGTGTCTCTTCTTCCAACAGTTATTCAATCCTCTCACCCATGAATCCTACATATTGGCCTACATCTCTGAAAAAACGTCCCGATATCCTGGATATATTTATCACCTCCCAGATTTCCTCCTCCCAATCCATTATCAAATCCCTGGATGACCTTTCGTCAGATCATAGTCCAGTTTTGCTTTTACTACATTCGAACTTTGCTCTTAAACCTACACCTCCTAAACTAATTACAGGACGAGTGGACTGGGACAAATTTCGTCATGATCTGGAAGATAAACTGGACTTAAAAATTCCCCTTAAGACAAAACAACATATTGATAATGCCATAGAAAACTTTAATACAACTATAACAACGAGTATAAATAATAACACATTTGTTAATAATAAAAGCAATAATTTAAGACATATTAACTTGCCTCAGCATATTCGAATCTTATTAAGGGATAAACGCAGAGCAATAAAAGCAGATCGAAGTGGCACAGGACTAGATATCCTTCAGACAAAACGTACTATACCGAATTGACTAACAAACTAAAATCAGAAAATATAAAACTCAACAATTACTGAACCTAACTGAAAATATTACAACAACTGACAAATCACTATGGACTACAACCAAAAAACTTCTGAAGTTTAAAGATTTTAATCACCCACTTCTTACTGAATCCCAAACCTGGTCCAAATCCGACGAAGAAAAAGCCCTGTTATTCGGTCAGGGTTCCCATCTGTTCCAAATTTTCAACCCACATCCTGATATCCTTAATCCAACCCACATCGAATGTATTGAATCAGAACTGGATACTCCTCTCCAAATGTCCCTTCCACCTAAAGCATTTAATCCCACAGAAATATCCAACATCATTCAAAGATTACCCTCCTGCAAAGCTCCTGGATATGACCTAATAACATCCCAGATCTTGAAACTTCTTCCTCGAAAAGCCATCCTATTCCTTACATTCATATATAATGCTGTACTCACATATTTCCCTGATCCTTGGAAAATATCTATTGTCAAAATGATCCACAAACCCAAAAAGCCACCAGAATATCCATCCTCTTACCGTCTCATCTCTCTGTTACCCATCATGGGAAAAATCCTGGAAAAACTGATCTTAAAACGCCTGTACCCAATCCTAGATTCTAATCACATAATCTCAGATCACCAATTTGGATTCCGCTCCTCCCATTCCACTATACAACAATGCCATCGTGTGGTAGACGTAGTATCCTCTTCATTGGAGCGCGTATGTACTGTACGGGAGCCTTTCTCGATGTTGAACAGGTGTTTGATAGAGTTTGGCACCCGGGACTGCTGTACAAACTCCGAAAATTCCTACCATCTACCTACTTCCCCATTATCCGTTCCTACCTTACTGATAGATACTTTAAAGTAAATCACAACAATGTATATACATCCCGTTTTTCCCAGTCTGCAGGTGTTCCTCAAGGTAGTATCCTAGGTCCTATCCTTTACACAGTTTATACAGCTGACATCCCAACCCATCCCAACACTGTCATCACCACATATGCTGATGACACATGTATCCTATCAGTTAATAACGACCCATCTATTGCATCCCAAACCCTTGAATCCCACATCACAAACCTTGAAGA